GTTCGCGTACTAGAACGTCGCGGGACATCCGACGAGGGACCGGATACGCTGAAGGAACCAAGTCAGATCTGTCCGAAAACTGCTCACATTAGTTTGATTTGATTTTGAATGGCTATGCTAACACACATGAACTAGAAACGTGACGTTAGATTGGTTTGGGTTAAATAACTATTGCATATTTCCCTTTAGTTGATTTTAAAGAATTATTTCATTTTCGCGGTTTGAATTGGTGTTTTCAAATTTGAGTATCCTTATCTGATTGGTTGGCTTTAGACGTTTGGGTCAAAAAAAGTAAGTTCGTTTGTGTCAACATCTGAGTGACCTGACCTGAGAAGGGAAGTTTCTTGCCGGGTAATTAAGAACGAGTTGACGGTCCTTCTTTGGAAGATGGCGCTTAAGCCGTCAGCTTAGCGTAACACGGAGAACGTTACACATTGAAAAAAACATATCTGGCCACTCTGCATACACGTTATTTATAAATAACCCAAATTTGAGTATGATCTACGAAAGAAAGGCTCAGTACAACGAATTCACTTATTATAAATTCAAACATAAAACCGTTCAATTAATAGGTGAATCAGAATTAAGTTGTATTGTGTCAAACATGAAGTTATTACCTGTATTTGATCCTTCTCCTCGGCGTTAAATATTTTGCTGTTGAGTTATGTGAATCTGGGATCGAGATATAAACACATTTCAAATGCTCGAGATTCTATTATTCAGGTCAACCTTTTAGTCGACGATTCTGTTAATTCGTGTACGAATGGATTCGAGACTTGTCTTTTTATATCACTAATCACTAAAATTCCTACAGTGACATGTGGGCAGCTTGCATGTCCTTGTTGCAAACGTACAGAGGGCCATAAACCGTGTGGTAATCGTTGACGAACGTCCAATTATTTGAGAGATCTGTAATAAAATAAATAGAAAATTTTAGTTACTGGTTATCGAATTCAATTAAGGAATCCTACCCATCTCAGGGAACTATTTAGCCAAGGTTTTGAAGAAATTTTCTTGATTTTTAAAGCTGTTAATCATTTTATAAATTCTAGTCACGGGCGTAGCCAGGTTTCGAGCTAGGGAGGGCCAGTTAGCTGAGGTAAAGTGAGGTGCGTAATGAACAGCCCCCTCCGAAGTAATACGATAAGTGGTCCCGGGGGACTACGGTCAACGTGTCCAAGGAGGTTTTAGTGCGGTAAGAATCCCACACACCATGTTACCGTGACCGTGCTCCCGGTGTCAAGCGGGGGCATTATGGCCTTTTTAAAGGTTTCCTCCTTGCAACAATAAAAAAACACACGCACACACAAATACAATTAAGCACAATCCGTGCTTTATCACTCTTTTTAGAACGGAGATGATCAAAATAATAGATTGATTCTACTGTAGGTGGCCTTCAAATTTATTTACTTTTCCATACTTCTTCTTCTTCTTCGCATTTCAAGCTTATTGCATATCGCATATTAGCTTATTGCGTGCTCTCAACTTAGTGTTCTAGATGCACTTCCACAGTTATTAATTGAGAGCTTTCGATGCCTGTACCTTTTTTTGCATTGGTATAATTGTGTGGCAAGTCCAATCATACTTCTATGCCCAGGAAAGTCGAGAAATTTTCCAACCCGAAAAATTCCTAGACCGGACCGGGAATTGAACCCCCACCTCCAGCATGGTCTTGCTTCGTAGCTGTGCCTTTACCGACTGAGCTAAAGGAAGGCCCCCTTAGCCCCCTTAGACCCACTTTTCCTTACGTACCATTTAATATGATAAAGAGTAATAAATTGTGGATTTATTATTAAAATCATACTGTTAAAAATCTTAAAATTTATACAAACACTAGTGCGTGGATTTATTATTAAAATCATACTATTGAAAATCTTAAAATTTATACAAACACTAGTGCCACCTACCGAGATAATTCTTAACTAATCAGTCTAAAATTAAAATGGCCTTGGTCTCCTGAGCAACTTAGTATCTAGAAAATATCTCGAAATATCGACCTTGCATTTACACGAAATTCATAAGAACACTAGTGTCACTTAGCGAGAGAATTTCAAACTTAATTGCCCACAATTAAAAAGGTCTTAGCCTGCTGAACAACTATGCAGAAAACAGCAACTTTGTATCTAGAAAATATGTCGAGATGTCGAGCCAGCATTCACACAAAATTTATTAGAAAACTAGTGGTACCTGGCGCAAGAAATCCGAGATGAACTGTCAAAAATTTAAAAGGTCTTAGCCTCATGAACAACATTGCATAAATCAGCAGCTTTGTATCTAACAAGTATCTCGAGATGCATGAAATTTATAAGAACACTAGTATCTTCCAGCGAGAGAATTACGAACTAAACTGTACACGATTCAAATGGTCTTGACCTCATGTACAACATTGCATAAAACATCAACTTTATTAATAGCCTGAATCATGAGATATTGCATGTACACAAATTTCACATGAACACTAGAGTCATCTATAGAGAGAGAGAATTCTGAACATGAAAATACACTGTAATGTTGGTCTTTTTATTCTAAACAACAATGCAGAAGACCGTATCCTTCAACTTTATTCTAAAAATGTTGATAAATCGATGTTTTCTACAGACGCTAACACCACCTAGTGAGTGAATTCCGAACTAAATTGTTTTCCATTTTCAAGAGATTGGTCCATAGAAGAATATAGGTGAATACATGTTTAACTTTTGAGCTGATACTTCTCGACAGTAATTAAAAATGTAACTGATCTATAAATAGATAACTTGGCGTTAGAGGCTGCTGATCTATAAATAGATCACTGGGCGTTAATGGTTTAATGACGAACATGTGAATACTATACCAAACATCTTAAAAATACAGTCAAAAGATACAACACAATAAACACTTTATCTTCCGCTATCCAATAAGCCTTCTTCATCACAACGGGAGCCGCTTCCACTGGTTTCATTGTATGACAGTATAGCCAATGGGGGTCAGAGCGCTTCCATTGCAGCAATGGACGCAAAACGTGGTCATCAATCAACACTGAACGACATGAAATTAATGAAGCAACATAAATTCGTGGAGCCGTTAAACAAGCAAAAACTTCCCCAATTGCATGGACAATAATAATGTGAATGAGAATGCCACAGTTAAATATTACATGGACGGTTTTCAGCACAACCAGTCTCAAAAAACAGCAAAAACGTTTATTGCTTCAATATCCGACGGTTTCAGTTATATATTCAATCTTTTTCAAGGATTCTAAAAAAGTTTTACAATAATCCGTTACAATATTTTTTTCCCTTATTCTTGACTTACTAACAGAGGCAACGTTTCATTGTAATAATATGTAGTGCCCTACATTTTGTTGTCCAACTTTGGCTGTAAGCGGTAAAATGCATAATAGAAAAATATTTGATCAACGACTAGTATTTTACTCACTGCAATAGTTTCGACTTGTGTGTGCCGCACTGCACTTTTGATCAGAAACTTTTTCCGTTAGATAAAAGCTTTTTTAATATCGTTTTATAATAGTTGATCTATAGATTTTGAGCGCGGGCGTTTTATCGACACCTATTCTGACTATTATTATTCTAGATGCTATTGGTGTGATTGATAGCTAGTGTCTTCATAGCGTGTGTGTTGGTATTGGTGTGTTTGTTGTGTCATTAGTTTCATCATTTTCCGTGTTCTCGTTTTGTATTTTGTTTATGTTCTTGATTTTGTGCAAGATACCGGCATAGATTGAGTGTAGGCCATTGGTATCTGTACGACGGTTAACACAATTTCTGCTGTTTGTTATATGACACATCTCTAGGAATTGTAGTGTTTGTGTTTTGTTGTTTCTGTCTAAAACTTTGACTTTATTCAGATCAAACCGGTGGTTTTCGGTGATGCTGTGGTGCATTAGGGCAGTTTTTTCACCGAGTGCAACGATTCTGTGATCGGTGATGTTGGCTTCTTCCTTCATCAGTCTGTACATTGCGTTGTAGTACGTTTGGTGTCCGTTCAACCGTGTTTTTAGACGGTTAGTTGTCATACCAACATAGCAGACTTCGCAGTTGCTGCACGGAATGTTGTAAACAACGTTTGTTTGGTGTTCTGCTGGTGCAGGATCTTTCACTTTAGTGAAGAGACTGCACACTTTTCTGGCATTATGTTTAGTTAGTTTTATGTCCCGGCAGAGTTCCTTGTCAACCAAGTTTGACAGGTGAGGTATGAATGGTATCGAACGGTAAGTATATTCCAGGTTTCCTTGTTCTGGTCTTGTTTTGTTTTGGTTTGGCCGTTCATTCATACGATTAATGAGTCTGTTCCTGAGCGGTTTAGGGTAATCGTTCAGACTAAGTTGTTCGTCGATGATTTTGGCCTTCGTTTGATCATCAATGTTAGAAGAGAGCTGGTTATCTCTACTATCAAAATTTTTGGCCATGTTCAACTTTTGACTCATCGGATGGAACGATTGGTAGTTCAGAAATCTTCCGCTAGCAATAGGTTTCTGATACCATTGTGTTTTTATCTTCTGATCGCTCTGTCGTATTAGAAGCATATCCATGAAGAGTAATTTGTTATCTACTTCTAAGGGCCCATGCATTAATTATGTCACGCTAAATCGAGCAAAAAATTACTATTATGTGAATCGTTGTCATTAACGAAAAAACGTATGAGATTGTGTCGAAGGTTTAATCAATTCTTCCAGTGTCGATTTCTAAAATAATGTTGACAATATGAATAGCTCAGCACTAACTCTAATAATATTTATCACAAACAAAATTCAACTAGTTGAATAGGGTCATCACATCGACGACCGATTCGGATGCGCCCAATTGGGATTGTATCCCTGGTGAGGATGGCTATGCGCAACATTAAAATTTAAGTTCAAAGTTTGAACGCGCTTCCCTTTATACTCCACTTGTACTCTGCAATTAAACTTTTCACCAGCTGCCTAATGTATGGCATTGCATAAACATTGTACAACATAGACTAAAGAAAACTTTATTTCCTTTCTTCTCTTTTCCGAATTACAGCGGAGGATGAATCCAACGGGGAAGCTTCAACGTGCGGCCGTATTCTCATCTTTCTCTCTTGGGTCTTGGTGGTGCTGACGATGCCCTTCAGTCTGCTGGTGTGCTTCAAGGTAAGCGGGAAAACTTTAACTAAATTCCATTACCACCAATCAGAACGCCTACGAAGTGCGAGGTCCATCCGTCAAACTTTTGCGTCAAAGCGTAACCAATTTTGTTGTGCTGTGCTGTGCTACGCTCGGTTCTACCGCCTATCCTCTACGAATGAAAGGGTTCCATACCTCACCTCCTTTACTGCCCATTTGTGAGTCTAATGAAGCGTGGAATTAAATAGACTAGAAGATAACTACCGCTTTCACAGGCAGCCACCAACCAAAAAGTGGCGGGCATTCAAGTTTTCAGACATGGAAAGTAGGTTCCGTAGGACAGGGAAAACTGCGGTGAGAGTGAACTGTATAATTCATTAAAATTTGCTTCAACGTATTTTTGGTAGAAGGTTTCGTTTCGTTGCACAGTGGTACAATGAAGCAGCATTCTGATGAAAATATACCCATCTGATCTGAGGATATCAAATGCTGTTGTTTTTTTTATCCGGAATTTGTATAGTTCCTTGTTATTAGAAAAGGAAATCCTTATACTGATAGGCATCAACGCTACTGCCCTATTGTGGATATTTTTTCAAAACAAAATAAACAAATCCTTCTTTAACGAGCGCCGCTCTTTGCCACAGTGCACACTGAGAGCAGAGGTGGGTCACATCTAAAAACTTCACTTGGATACGAGCCACAACGGAGCAGGACTATGAATTAGTATGTATATGAGCTGCAAAGTAATTTTCCTCACTCACTCGAAGCAACTCTACCAACGGCACCGAACCACTAGGACAGATTCACTAGGGGTAACGCATCATGTTTTGACGACATGTCACTTTGTTTACTAGTTTTAGATGTCGAGTGGTGTTAAGATTGTTAATTGAAATTATATCCATCGGGGTACACATACATATCGCCCACAAACCGCACGAAGATAGTGAGTAATTCTTTTTTTTTCTGACGTATGGTCTAAATAGGAAACTAGGACCCAAACTGGTTCACTTACCTTATAAATCCATGTACACACACTTGGGTGCCTATTTATGAGCATGAATTGGCTCGAGGGAAGAATTTTATGTTTTAATTAAAACAGGCACCATTTTAATGGGTGCAGCTTGAGCAGCCTTCGAACCAACTTTCACTTCTACACATCGCTAAGTTGATGGAAGCAATGAGAGAAGTTTTTTATTGCCTCAAATTCATTGGAAGGTTGGCAGCTCAGTGAAGGGTATATTTCTGATGAGAACTATAATGGTTTAAGTACCTAAATGGTAAACGATCCGTTTTTAAGACGCTGTTTTGTGGTACTTGCATTGCATATTTCCCTGTTAATATTGTTTGTTAAGGTTGAGGAGAAACAGAGCCTTTATCAGTATTATCGGAAATGCTGATTTTGTAGGGCGTGGCATTTTGAATAGCTCCATGTGTAAGAGATTTAGATAAATATTATTCCATACTAAGTTATTGGGTCTCACTCACTCACTCACTCACTCACTCACTCACTCACTCACTCACTCACTCACTCACTCACTCACTCACTCACTCACTCACTCACTCACTCACTCACTCACTCACTCACTCACTCACTCACTCACTCACTCACTCACTCACTCACTCACTCACTCACTCACTCACTCACTCACTAACTCACTCACTCACTCACTCACTCACTCACTCACTCACTCACTCACTCACTCACTCACTCACTTACTCACTCACTCACTCACTCACTCACTCACTCACTCACTCACTCACTGTGACGCTCGTTTTCCAGGTTTTTTGACAGTTATTACTTGTTCCGGTGGTACCAACAATGAAATTTTCTAATAAGGAAATTAATAAGTGTAGTAACCGTCTTTTTGTGATATCTGGGGGATTTATCATAAGATTTTTTTAATCACATCGCTACTCGATGAGTATCAAGATTTAAAGAGAATTCCATAATTGTGAATGGTTTATCCAGAGAGCCGTCGATGGACAAGTTTTTTTTTAAAGAAATTGTTGGTTGGAATGTTTTTCACTCTGATTAGATGATACGTAGTTATGCAGCAATTGCTAATATAAATGTTATCAAATTTGTGTTAAATTTAACTCCTTTTCTTCTAAGCTAGGGTGTTATATTAAATTGCCATCCTACTAAGAACAGCCCGCACTTAACCTCTCTTTTTCGAACAGATATGAACAAACATTCAATGATTCTACTAAAGATGACTTCCCAATTTATTTACCTTTCCATACCTACCATTCGATTTGATAAAGAGTAAGAAATTGTTGAGATATTGTTAAAAATCTTACACTGATTCTTGATTCGCTCAACGAGTTTTCATTCCGTTCTAACGCATTGAAACGTCATTGGGTTTTCTTCATCCTACGGATAAAGGCAGAAAAAATGTATTCCCTCTGAGCACTTCTTTTGTATTTGAGATCAATAAGTCTCTAAATCCGTGTGGCCTAAGCGTCACTCCACGAGGGAGACTACACGTCAAACTTGAGACTATCCTAACGACGAGTCCATTAAATTTCCTAGAAAAGATTTACGGATCTGGCTTTCAACTGAACTGTCGCATGCAGCTAAAACCATTTACGCCACTGTAAGAATTGATTTGTCGATAAGACAGAAAAATGCATATCATGCAAATGCACTCACATCAGTAGCGTTCACTTCTACCATAGCCTTGCCAAACAGAATTATTAATTTACCTTTCCTACACCCAGAACAGCGAACCCGAATGCGCGGATCATGTTAAATACATCTGTCAATACGCTAATAGCCTAGGGGTCGGTAGGTACACTGAATAACAAACAAATTAAGAACAAACCCATTAAATACATCTCCAGATTAAGCTTAATAATTTGAATAATTTGCAAGTTCAAACACGTGTAGGTTAAAATCATTGATTCATAACTCAATACCCAACGCTGAACTTTTCAGGAGTACTATTTTATAATGTAATCTTCGAAATTCAATCGGTTTTAAACCCTGCCAGGGGCCGCCTCCCATATTTTCGGGCCGTTCAATATGGCGTCACAAAACCGTCCGATGGGCTGTATATAATATTGACATTTTCGAATCGAGATTTGACTAGGTACCCCTCAGTACCCAACGCTGAAATTTTCAGAAGTACTATTTTATAAGGTAATCTTCAAAATACAGCCAGTTTTAGACCCCGCCAGGGCCCGCCCACCCTCTTTTCGAGCCGTTGAATATGACGTCACAAAAACGCTTGATGGGCTGTATATCACATAGATGTCAATGAAAAGCATTGGTGTATTCAGCAAAGTTGTATATTTTAATGATGCCAACAATTTTTTAGAACATGATAAATTGATCAAATTTGAAAAAAGCACTAATTAACTCAAAAAACCAATATTAAGGTAGTCTTAAGAGAAAATCTATTATAGCTCTACAGAGTTATGATGTAGAAATTTGGTGTCTTTGGCAAATGTTCATAAAATCAACTGCTCTGCAACTTTGTGGAAGACATGGAACCATTATCTCGTAACTGGAAAAAGTTAGAATTTGGATGTGTAATACTAGCTTAAAGATTATTCAGGTGTGTATTTCAAAAGATGCGAGATATAATTTTGAGCAACTTCTCCCAAGACAGCCAGTCTCTAAAACGTCGAAAAAGGGTAGAAAATATTTTTGACCGTCTTTATTCATATTCGTGCCACTGTGAGTCGGTGAGAGCTAACCCATACCTAAAGACCTCTACACGGAAATGGAAAACTACCCAAAATTAAGTAATTTTCCCTCAATTCTGGGGGTTCAGCCCAATAACCTAAATTTAAATGGTGTCCCACATCAAATCACGGAAAAAACGCTGTAGAAAATTACCCATGGGGTATTTTCTTTTGAAAATTTGGGTGGAAGTAGTTAACACTGTGTTTACACTGTATTTTTATCGCTGTCAGTTTTTCGACAGTTGGAAAAAAACGGTGTCACCCGAAAAGCAACATCGTGAATTGATTTTGCGCAAGCACCTGAAAAATCTTCAACAACTCAACCTCTCTCATCGGAAAACAACTCGGAATCGTGCAGTCAACGGTAAGTCGTGTGATTAAACGATACTACAAAACTCTGAGCATCGAACGGAAGGAAAAATGCGGTCTGAATAGATGTTCTATTAGTGAACAGGATCACAAGCGTGTCGTGAAAGCGTTTAAGCGGAATCCCAAAGCTTCGGTCAGGGATTTGTCCAAAAAGTTGAATCTGTCCAAGAGGGACTGCATACGTACAAAGTGCAGAAGACTCCAAATCGTGACGAACGGCAAAATACGGTGGGAATGTCACGGGCCCGGAAACTGTACACAGATGCTGACGAAGCCTTACGTCAAGGCGGAGCTCCGGCAGCTTCCGGGGCTACTGTTCTTCACTACCCAGCGCAAGTGTGATGTTCCGGAGGACGTAAGGAAGCAAAAACTTTAAAAAATACATAATTTGGCAAGCGATCTGCTGGCAAACGTAGTGCACTGTTCGTGACTACCGGGACTTAAACGGGGAGATCTACCTCAAGGAGTGTCTACGGAAGCGTCTGCTTCTTTTGTTGAAGCAACAAGAGGGCCCTACGATCTTCTGGTAGGATCTAGATTCGTGCCATTTCTCAAATGTTGTCCTGGAGTGGTACGAAGCCAACGGAGTCACTTTCGTACCCAAGGACATGACCGCCCCCCCCCCGTCCAACGCTCCGGAACTAAGACCCATCGAAAAATACTGGGTTATTGTGGAGCAGGCATCCCAAGTGGGTCAAATCTGAGGAAGGCATGAAGAAAAAGTGGGTTTACGTAAAGAACAAGCTGCAGCCATATGTTGTACAGCACCTAATGAGTGGAGTTAAGCGTAAGGTGCGAGCGTTCGGTTATGGTATTGAAGTTGAAAGGAATAAATATGCCAAAAGCTTACTAATGGGTTATAGTTTATTGTCTGAAAGTTTGAAAAGGATCGGTCTGCTAGGTAATTTTCTACAGCGTTTTTTTCCGTGATGAAATTTGATGTGGGACACCCTTTAAGTAAATTGCATATAGTAGTTTCCATTAACACTAGCAACAAAACCGAAAACAGTCAATGGGTTCCCGACACTTACCCTTTTTCTTATGTTACGTACCCGTCCATCAATTATTCAAGTATCCAAGTATTTAATTACGATTTATATCTTAATATGAAAGAAAGCTGAGTTAACGTATAACTCTATAACGTGAAGGAGCTTGGGATTGAAACCATGATTTTCTGCTCAGTAAGCAAAATTGGTCACCACTAGGCCACCGAGGTAGCTCCTTATTTCACAAAACAATTACGACCAATTTCCAATTGACGCCTCCTGAGCACGACTGTTGGATACCCTTATGGTGATCTTTCCTACATGCAGGCGATCTACGAATTCCTTTGTTTGTCTGATGTTAGAGTTTGATGTGACCATCCCCTCCTTTCCAAACAATTTCCAGCCATTGCGTCCCAGTCTTATTATCCTTCTGTTTCTGTGCTACTTGCCCCTGCCCAGCCAGGATTTAAAGGAGGCTTCAGAAACCAGTTTCCTACCTAGCTCCTTCCAATCGAAATTGTTACCCATTAACCTAGAGCCCGCCACGAGTAATTAGTACCCAATACTAACCTAGAACTACTGCTGTTTAAAATGTAAATTCAAACCTTACTGATTTTTGGCACCGCAAAGTATCACACACGACTGAGCCTAGTAAATAAACGAACTAGTTAAAAAAAATCCTGTTCAACTAGCTGTTGCTAGATTTCGATCCTGGCGACGACGATAAAAATTACACTGGACAAAGATTTGTTTTAGATTTCTGATAAACACGTCTTTCCTAAAACTCAAATATTACTTCTGTAACGTATTTGTTCCTCCATCCTAATTTCAATACGCATTGTCTCATATTAGGAATATACACGATTTACACTAAACTCTATTATGTGAAGGAGCTTGCAATTGAACCCAAAATATGCTGTTCGGTAAGGAAAATCGATCGCCACTAGAGGCGTCCTAGCTTCGGCTGGACATATACTAAAATTGGAACGATACAGAGAAGATTAGCATGGCCCCTGCGCAAGGATGACACGCAAAATCGTGAAGCGTTCCACATTTTTACACCATCAAACGGCACTTCAAGGCTGGTTCCAATCCCTCTGCGGTAAATCAGGCGGTATTGGATTTGCAGAGAAGGACGTACGCTGGATACGCCATCCGTTACTCGGACGGTTCCGTAGCCCAGAAAAGGGTGGGCATCGGCATCTCCGGTGACCACCTAAAGGAGTGTCATAGGCTCCCGGATGAGTGCTCTATTTTTTCCGCCGAGGCAGCCGCAGCTTTTATCGCAGTTACTACCCCGGATACACGGCCAATCGCACTTTTCACAGACTCTGCTAGTGTAGTCACTGCACTTGAATCCGCAACCAGCAGGCACCCCTGGATACAGGCCATCCAAGAGTACGCGCCACCCAACACGGTATTCATTTGGTTGCCTGGACATTGCGGTGTAAAAGGGAATGAGGAAGCTGATCATCTCGCCGGATCAGGCCGTCGTATGACCAAATATACCCGGAAGGTCCCCGGGCAGGATCTGAAGAAGTGGGTCACCAAGACCGTAGACCAATCCTGGAGCCGGGACTGGCTCGCCGGAAGTATACTGTTTATACGGAAGATAAAAGGGGACACCAGCAGATGGGAGGATCCACCCCTCCACCGTGAGCAGGTTGTTTTATCGCGACTCCGGTCCGGCCACACAAACGTCTCCCACAACTATAAGGGGGACGGACCCTTCCGGAGGATATGCGACCACTGCCACATCCCACAGACCGTCGAGCACTTCATCTGCATATGCCCGAAATACGATGGAACCAGGAGAAGCTACGACATTTCCGGCAGCATCCGGGATGTCCTCTCCGATGATCCCGTTCGGACTGCTACGCTGTTTATCTTCCTGAAGGAAACCGGACTCTTCAATATGATTTAAACTACTCGACCCACGCAACCCTCAATGACTAGCTCCAACTACCGGCATACACGATACGTTTCAACCCTGAACCCTGATGACAACTTACCGCAATCCAATTGGAAGTCCAACTGAATTAACGCAGATGTACCACGCCAGTTCTTATTTTAATATGTCCTTTATGTTTATACTGATTTGTGTTTTATGTTAATGGTGTTAATGGTTATACAAACACTGTAGCAGCTCTTACAAACCTTTTGGAACTCCCTTCTGGAGTTCCCAAGGTGAACCAGCCAATGGCTGAAAGCCTTGTAAATAAAAGAAAAAAAAAAAAAAAAAAAAAAGATCGCCACTAGACCACCGAGCTCCTTAAATCACAAAACAATAACGATCAAGTTCCTGTTCAACTTGCTGTTAATAGATTTCAATCCCGACGGCAACCTGACTGACGCCAACAACAACTGCTCTTGAGAAGGATTTGCTATGGCAACACGTCTGAAACCGACGATCTTCTATTCAGTAAGCAAAAGCTAGCCGAAGCCAAATTTAAAAAAAAAATACCATCTAAAACATCACATCATTTACTGCTTGTGGCGTGATACTTTGCATGTTTGCAAATTGATCGTCTACTGACTAGTCTTTCCTATGTCCGAAACTGGAAGAAGACAGTAGCAGAAATCCACCGAAACTTTTCACCACCTTTCCCAAAAAACACAACGTATAAGAACTGTATAAGTGAGTTTATCAGACTCCCGTGAGGGGAACAGTTTTGTCTACACGCCATTTAAAAATCACTCAACCCGGCTTGAATTCCCTCAGATCGGTCAAAACTAAACCCACACAAATATGGGCATACACAGTTCGAAAAGTAGTGTAAATTTCTGTTCAAATTTGTCATCATCCCAAACAAAGTCCACCTATTCATGGGCAGGCTCAGCCTTGACCGATCTGGGTGGACTCCACCCAAACTTGGATAGCCTTGAATTAGCGTGTACCACAAAGCTTTTACAAAACAGATCAAAATTTTCTCATACATTGTTGCCAAAAAACTTTCGAAATATTTATACTGAAGCGCAACAATTTGTAAAATGATCAAATTGAGAAAAACTAAAACCCGCACTTACATGACATAAATTGTATTAAATCATATTGTTAGAAATATGATGCTGATCGCGCACGGATAGGACCCGAGTTTTAAGTTGTGTGATAAAAGGAAATATTGAAACTAGAGTCGGTGTATAATGAGTCACGCCAAGAGAACTCGTATCACGATTTTAGAAAGATTCCATTTCTTTTCACTTGGCAACAGAGGACTTCTACATCTACTTCAAATGACTTCTAACGAGAAAAAATAGCGGCTGTAGTAAATCATTAGAACAGTCACTTTGTTAAATTATCTTAACAAAAAATAGTAGAAATTCTCATTACTGATCATTATCCAACGTATCCCATGACAATTTAATGCTCACTGCGTGTTTATGATCATTTCCTCGATTATATTTTAAATTTTATTGCAATACCTTTCGTGGACCTTTCATTGCATCGTAATGTTTGTTTACTTTGCACGATAGGCAGCCGGTTTGACAGTTCAATAGGTAAACTTGGCTTCACTCTGCACTCTGCGTGACTCATTATGCACCGATTCTAATTGAAACGAGAACGATTATTTGACCGTCCTGCCATGGCGGAAGTATGTGACCTAAAAACGTTTATTTATTGTAACATAACAAGGAAACTACAAAACAAGCAATGACAATGATACGGGGACAAGTGGTGACATCTATGGGTAGCTACAGAAGCTACTTTATGTTAAGGGTAGAGGCAGTAGTAGCATAGACATAACTCTAAGACCAGATGGTCTCGAAGAAACGTGCTCAACTTTTTAGCTCTCTTCGGTCCCAAGCTAATCGATGCACCCCTCGAAACATAGGAAAATCTATGAACCCCTTATTTTATCTGTCAAACTTTCATAGCGAATCAAAACAAACATAGTGTAGTACTAGAATTTCGACTAGAATGGGGTACGTTAATCGATTTGCTTAGGACCAATAGGCTAGTCAAGTAGTGAGCCAATTTAAAATCGTTAGTTTCCACCGGTTGGTAGTAGTCGCCTGCACGAACAGATACAGTGCGAAACCGAACTTTTTGTCAGTGCGAACCTCAGTCTGAGCTAGGTTTTGAAAACAAGCGAGCAAACTGACGTTTGTCAGAAAACAAGCAGACCCAATTTTGATACCCAATCCACGTTGGAACTGAATAATAAACGAATTCGCTACTAGCTGGTTCCTCGACGTGTTCATCAGTCTAAGAAAAACTCCAAATCCTCAGCGTCCTGTGATTTCTTAGGTGCAAAACTATCATGTATTACTAAATTAACTATTTAAATCCGATATTTACACTCAAAAAGAGAACAACAAAATCAGAAGCACGTAAAACAACAACCGATCGCGATGCTGTTACATTTGTTGTATGACACATATGCAGAGGATGTAATAAATCAAACCATACATTGGATGTAAGAGAAATTTGTTTTGCGTGTTGTAGTCAATTCACGAAAAGTCAACTTACCTTTTTTAACTGCCAATGTCTTATACATTCAAGTGAGGGGGTTAGAAGGAAAGGGGTGTAAATGACTTGATCGATTCTCTACATCTACTTTCTCTTTTGATAGCCACAGCTTTATAAACAGATTTTGCGCTAGTTCTGCCACATAGTTTTATACAGGACGTCCAGCATCCAGAATGGAACTCGAATCAAGGAATGTGTTTGCAGCTGAATTAAGCACGAAAAAGAAAGTCGATGAGGAGAATCGATCAAAGTCACTTACACCCCTTGACTTCTAACCCCCTCAAGTGATGTTTCTAAAACAAACGATCTCCAGAAAAATTTCCACTGGTTACATTATCTATATTTTTCTCATCATTTTCAGGTTGTCCAAGAGTACGAGCGAGCCGTAATATTCCGCCTTGGTCGCTTGGTGCAAGGCGGTGCGAAAGGCCCAGGTCAGACATTCGTCCTTTCCACGCTGAACTTAGGGAACCTAATTTGGCTAATCCTAATTTTCACTGTTTTCACACTATTTCACAGGAATTTTCTTTATCCTACCATGCATTGACGCCTACGGACGTGTTGACTTGCGTACCCGCACATATGACGTCCCACCGCAAGAAGTAAGCTCGCACATCACAAAAAACTCATCAAACATCGGTGGAAGAAATGCTTTCGTAACGTTTTCCCTTTTCCGTTTCAACTTAAATGCAGGTACTTACGAAGGACAGCGTGACGGTGTCGGTGGATGCCGTTGTGTACTATCGTGTCTCGAACGCAACCGTCTCGATTGCCAACGTGGAAAATGCTCATCACTCGACCCGACTGCTGGCTCAGACGACGCTTCGCAACACGATGGGTACCCGGCATCTGCACGAAATCCTCAGCGAACGAATGACAATCTCCGGCAGTATGCAGCTCTCGTTGGACGAAGCGACCGAGGCCTGGGGCATCAAGGTGGAACGAGTGGAAATGTGAGTATTTTAGTTGAAGAAATACATGCTTTTTGATTGTATCAATTCGGATTATCCCGCCCATAACAGCAAGGACGTCCGTCTGCCCGTCCAGTTGCAACGTGCCATGGCTGCCGAAGCTGAAGCCGCCCGTGAGGCACGCGCCAAGGTTATTGCCGCCGAGGGTGAACAGAAGGCATCCCGTGCCTTGCGTGAAGCCTCCGAAGTGATTGGTGATTCACCGGCTGCCCTTCAGCTGCGCTACCTCCAGACGTTGAACACCATCTCGGCGGAGAAGAACTCCACCATTGTGTTCCCGTTGCCAATTGACATCCTGACCTACTTTATGAAGTCCAAGGAGTGCTATGAAGCCTCACACTCAAAGTCGTCTGCTAAATAGGCAAAGGCTGTTAAATCAGCAAACCAAGAAACACAAACAACTTAGCGGAAGTTTTTCTTCATAAGTACGGTATGTTTTTGATCAATTCGTTCATTTTCCAGTGAAACTTTTTCTATTGAAAGGAAAACTGTAGGTAAGAAACTAACAATTTTATAAATATTTGTGTGTAGTCTAATCGCAGTAGCGCGAGCTCGGTCCCTGAGAGGAGGGTCGAGGTAGAACAACAGATATAGCAAAGGGAAGATGCAAGCGTGTAGCGGAACTTTTGAAGGAAAAATTATTTCAATTAGGAAATAATGGTTTCACATCGCTATCCATCCGTTTCTCTCCAGTTTCTTTCTTTTGGGAATTGCTTTCTGGCGAGCTTCGGACTTTTCTTTTCATAATTCATTTAAACACTGAGTTTGGTGGCGTGGAAACAAGTGTGGATGTTTTTGGCAATTCAGTAAGAAATAGGATGCATCGGATTTTTTCAAATTCAATTTTTTTCACAATATTACACATCACTTTTATTTGGTTAAATTGATTCTCCATAAGTCGATGTTCTACGTGTGGAAATCTATTCATGGGATCATGGGAACTTTTTGGTGTGGGAACTGTGATGGTTGCTTCTCAATTGGTTTTTCTTAGATTTGCTGTTCTACATCTAAACATTTCCATGCGTTAAATGTTCCTCCAATATCAACTCAGTGATCCCTTACCCATCATATGTTCTTATGTTGACGGTACACTAGAATGACGTATTCTTAATAAAAGCTTAAATAAAAAGTTTTTACTAAAGTTTCATTTAATAATTGGAATATTAACTGGAACCATGCTTTATCAAATGACGTAGATACTACTGTGTGCTCCAGTTTTACTCGATCCATATGAATAATTACATTTTAGCCTATCATTAGGATGCTCATGTCTAAAAGCGATTTTTGTTTTCAAAAATGCGTTTTGGAAAGTTCCAGTTATGACAAATTAATTCAATGTTACAATGTATGGCAACAAATGATCAACTCTTACATAAACAACAAGAAGAAGATGAGTTACATATCGCAGCAGCTACATGTAGAGATATTCTAATCTATTCGAACACTAAGGGATCAAGTTTAAATTCTTCAGTTGTTAAGGTGAACTCTTTAAAGACTTGAAGTAATGTGCATTGACTATTTAGGTAAGTGGACACATGCAACGGTTCCAGAAGACAAATAGGTCATCGCTCATTCACTTTAATTTGTAATACAGCTCATTCCTTTTGTATAACTATTAAAAAACAAATAGACGAAGGCCTTCCCTCTCGATCATTTATTCAAAAATCCAACATGTGCAAAAGGACTATGAGCCAAATGTAAGCAATGACTTTAAACATCGATTGCTCAAGTATTTACAACACACCAACCCAACATAACTATCTTATAGAACAACCAGATTCTGCTATCGGTTTGCCAATTTGAGACTTAATCCGGGAGAAACCAACGTTCAAGGTTATGGTTTACAACAGGGTTAGGGCAAACAAACATTTCATTTATATCTCGACCTCCCCGATTTGGATGAAACTATGCACAATTTTTTGTCATGGAAATGTTTATTTGTGATAAAATTCGGTCATTTTAAATAAAAAAAAAACATGATGACATGTTTGATATTTTTCAATAAATCATAGCACGGTAACGTAGCTAAATGACGTCTAAGGCAAATTTGTAGGTAAATGTTAAGTGTGCGGGGATAAAAATTACACGTTTAAAAAATAGCTGTTTTCCGCAGAAACATAAAAAAAAAAAAAATTTAAAAAATCTAAAACTGAAAAACACTTTGCATACCACTCAAAACGTATATGAAAACTGTTAAACTTTGTGAAATATTCAAATTGTGCACTATTAAAATCTCTCAAATAGCTGAAATCAACTTTTTTCAACGGTTATATTTGGCACACAATGTTAAAATTTTAAATAAATCGAGGGTTAATGTTTTTGATTTTTGACTTATTTAAACAGTCCAACTTGAAGATTTCAGAAAAGTTAGCATATTCAATGAAAATTATAATGAAAAGTATTCGAATAATTTTGAAGAGGGATATTTTTTGTAATTTGTATTTTAGCCCTTTTTTCTCAATTTTATATTTCCTTGAATATGTAAAATTTTTATACAAAGACCATTTTTCCTACAACTTTGTATTAAACGTCGTTTCAATTAGAACTCACATTTCTTTGCAATGATTTATTGAAATGGTGTTATACTATTTTAAATTTATTGAAAAAAATGGCCGAATCGTAGCAAAAACGTGAATTATTTTCCATTTCAAACAATTATATAATGTTTCATGAAAATCGAAGAAGGTCACGACTGATCGATTCTTCATTTGGCGGGGAAATGCTTATTTATTACATATGCCCTTTTCATATATTGATCCAACTTTTACTTGACGTTCGAATATTTTGCTATGTTTATAGAAACTCGTCGATCGTGCTGGATTTAATACTATTGCATCCGTGATCAAATATCATCAAGCCAACATAACACGAATAACCTATGAATCCAGTATGGCCTCAAAAATACCGATGATGTAAACCGGATTCTCATTAAATGCATTTTTCCAACGTGCTTTTATTGCGAATCGCGAATAATTGATTGATTTATCTTTATTAAGGAGGCTTTCAGCCTGGGGCTGGTTCGTTTTAGTTTTTTTTTTTTCTATTTGACCAATTTACAAATCATTGTGCTTCAGTATAAATATTTCGAAAGTTATTTGGCAAAAATGTGTGACAAAATGTTGATCTGTTGATATTTTTAACGAAGGAGAGTATGTAAGCGCTGTAAAAGTTTTGTGGTACCGTAAAACGGGGTAATATTTAAAGTTTTTTAAAATATATTCTAAATATTTTGTACAGCAATGAATGTTTTTCAAATTTTATTTTTTTTAAACAAGTACTAAGGATCCTAGAGTAAACTCATTAGTATTATGTTTAACGAAAATTAACGAATTTAAACTATTTTTAAGTGTTGTAACCAAACATCAGTATCTTGATTTGGGGTTACTTTGATAATTCTCGATGAATGTAAAAAAAAATGCGTGAAACTCAGACAATTTAGTTATTGAAATATAAAACTTTGAATGAGTATATAATCAGAAAACATCATAAGCAATAAGTGAATTTGCAATGGCTATATCGGAAATACATTTCAAAAGTTATGGTTTGAGCGTTTTTTCAAACAGGCGAAAAACCCGAAAATTGTTTTTTTCAAGGTTCTAATACTGTAGTCTGGATCCATTTCTCTCCAGGTACGGGTCAATGTTTGCCTGAGGCTTGCTGTACTCGGGTGGCGTTTAGAACAGGCCTTGGCCTTCATGACACGCCATATTGAGCAATCCAGTGGATTAAGATCGGGGTGGATGGCGGCCACATATCCTTCGCACAGAACAGAATATGTTCCTGCAACCACTTCTGAGTGCGGTTCGAGGTGTGGCACGGAGCCCCATCTTGTTGAAATACAACATTAGGCTTCGGACCGTACTGTTCTTTGATCCACGGAAGAACATACTTACTTGAAATCCCGATGTAGACCTCCGTGTTGACCTTGTCGCCTTCTGGAATGAACACCGGGTGAATTTTTTTGCCATCGGAAACCGATACATACACACTTAGATTTTTTTTGCCGAGATGGGCACCACCGAGCAGCTCGGCATTTTATTTTGCTGGAAATTCAGCAAAAAATATGTTTGTTAGCTGAATCTCGGCAAGTTTGTCACTGAGATCCAGCAAAATAAAATGCCGAGCTGCTCGGTGGTGCCCATCTCGGCGAAAAAATCTAAGTGTGTACACCATAACGCTAGCAAGATGCTTGGTCAGATACACGTTCTTGTTCTCGTCGGCCACCTATTTTACCGGAGGAGAACTAATTTTCTGATCGGTTCTGGAATTTGATACGGGATCGACGGTAAACATACTCTCATCGGTGAACAGGATTACCGGATTTTTTTCGCTTAAGGAAGTTCAACATTGTCTTGCATCGTTCGACTCGTAGCTCCCGGATGCGGTTGGTAATCATGTGAGTTTTTTTTTTCCGTGCCCTCGACTTCGCCCCGCAATCTTCCTTTACGATCTTCCGTATACCGTAAAGTCACTGATCCCGTGTTCCTTTGCCATTTTCCTTATTGAACGCACTGGATTCATCCGAATCTTGCTTTTGATATCAGTGATAACCCTCGGAACTCGAGCTGACCTCGAACGACCTGTGGCCACCTTCGCGGATAGTTGTCCTTTCTTTTCTCGGTCTAAAACCCTTTTGACGGTCCACCGGGCCACTCCCATGGCGATTGAAATGTCTTTTTGCGACACTTGCACGTGGGACAAATCACGAATACGCTGCCACTTCGTCATGGTGCAACTGTCAAACTAATAGCGAATTTGTTTATTATAAGGGTTGGAACCAGTTCCAACCCAGTGCGAAACCGAACTTTTTGTCAGTGTGAACCTTAACCTGAGGTAGGTTTTAAAAACAAACGATTAAACTGACATTTGTCAGGAAGCAAGCAGAGTCGATCTTGATACTCGATCCAGGTTGGAACTGAATAATAAACAAATTCGCTATAAGTAAATCATTTTCTTTTATACAGCAGCCTGCTACGGTGTGAGCTATTGATTATGTGCATGCAAAGAAAACCAAGGCATTGTATGCACAGGTGAAACGGGAACCTTATTTGTACGATGGTGCAAACATTATCACGTATTCGGTACAACCAATCTGTCGGAAATTCTACGACCCACCTAAAGACAGCCTGCAACCCATAGATTGAGAAACACTTCTTTAGAGGTTAATAATGACAGTGATCTCATCATAGGACAATACAGAACATTATCCATGCTAATAAATGTTAATAATGTTGAACATTATCCATGCTAAATCTACACTCACAGCTCTGATAGTAATGTTTACGGTCGAGTAATTTGATCCTTTACTATTGATAAAGTAAGTGAACGATCTGGAGCGTCCCGGAATTGAATCTTATTTCTAATGCTTGCAGAATGAAGACGTCCGAGCCGCTTTAACTATAATTTGCATGCTACATTATTATGTAACTCCAGAGGCCTATCTCTTTCAGTCTAATTGAAACATTGAATTATCACGATGTCACACTTGTAATCAAACATGTACCATAGTTTTAATAGAAAATCGATCATTCAAACTCCAGATTTTGACTTGATTTTGGATCCTCCTAGACGTAATCCTGCTAGGATACCAACTTCCAACGAAATTCCTGTGAAATTTATAATGATAGTCCATCAGCAGCTCAAGAAGTGAGCTAAGTTATAATCAGATAACTTCATCATTTTAACAAAAGGTTTCAGAATGGACCTACTTTCAAGTGGAACCGTAAATTTAAGAGACTATTTGAACATGGTTACAGTTTTCTCGACCACCAAACCTTTAAACATCATAATGGCACTATAACGTTAAAAAGCATGCTTTAAATTAACTTGTGCCGCATGCTAAATTTACTCAAATTCGTTGAAAACTCGGTCGCTGGGCTCTTTTTTAGTACACAAATCATAACATATTTGTCTGCTCCTAAATATCATATGGATACCCTGCAGTCTCGCACATGCAGCTATCCAGAGCCACTAGGTTTAAAAATTGGAATTAATAATTAAACTTCAATCTTCCTACCTTTTTCACACGGTTTTTTCTTCCTTCATGTATTGTAACAGTAGAAGAAGCTAGCAGGAGATAACGAGCATCTCCGCAGCCACCTCTACTCAGCCATTATGTCACGTCGTCGTCGTCATCGTCGTCTCTAGTGATACCGTCTCATTTTTATTTCATTTTCCAACTTTCCACGTCTCACAACATCCAATGAGAGCCTTAATTAATATTCCGACAATGGTTACAGATGTCCACACCAGAATAATTTTTCGTACCGTTGAACAGTATTCTTTAACTTTGTATTTAATTGGGATAATAATGGCAGCTTTCGTTTACTGATGCCAGGATGATGTTTTTAATGAGTAAGCGTGTCCGTTCGAGTTTTACGTTGACCTTAATGAAAGTATCAAATTAGCAAACATTTTCCGCTTGTGTGAACGCACCTAATGAAATACAACAGAAATAGACGAGCTTGTTGAAGAAGCACATTTCAGAATTTTCGTTTGAATTTTTCGGTTCCAGTTTTACTACAATATTGGTCATTGTTCAGAATGGAAAACTCAACCGATCAGTGAGGGGACAGGTTTTATAGCATCAATTGAACATATATAATCTTTCGTCGAAATCATTAGCTAGTGTCAAAATAAGAAAAATCAAACTAAAATGAAACGAAATGCAACAAAGGATAATACTAAGAACCCATAAATTCAACCAACAGATTGAGTGCAACAGAAGCTGCAAATGATGACCAATAAATCAAAAAACTCGTTAATGGTGATATAAGCTTTAAAGGTAAATGAAATTCACATTGAAATCTACTTGTAGAGCATCCTTAAAAGGTAAACAAATAAACTATCAAATCAGAGTCACACGAACAAATGAATCACTATATAAATCAGTCACATCAGTTGTAATTGTTAAGACAAGAATGTATTCAATCATTAAAGGAAATGGAATATTTCTTATTTGCGTTACGTAAAATTCGATGTCAATGTTGTCATGTATTGCCGTATTATTGAAATGAGAAAAAAAAACGTACCAAAGAAACAAACTAACAGTGGTCATGTCATGGTAGAAACAAAAACAATGTAAAACTAGGTTAATTATTATGATCAATGTTGGAATGATAACACTAAATTAAAATGAGGTTTAAGCATCTTTATAGCAGTATCAATGAAAATCAACAAATCATTTTTACCATTCGCAAACTCTATCAATGTATTTGTAAAGTTTTATCAACTGAAAGGCACAGGTAATATAGAAATGGATAGCATTATTAATACAAATACAAAAAAAAAGATCATATTTTCAAAGTTTTTCATCTTGAGCGGAGAAAACGTGTATTTCTTATATATAATAATTGAATCGTGTAACCAATTGAACTCATAAATCACAAACCTATATAAAATAAAGACACAATAAAGAAACAAGTTATTCAGGATATGTT